ATGGTGAGTGGCTGGCGATTGTTAGTGTTTAGGCTTTATGGTACATTGAAGAGAAACTTGGAATCCTGTGCCCAGGTGTGATATTATCTCTGTGCTTCAGTTTCATGACCACTAAAAGGTGAACGGAAGACTAAGATGACCTCTTAGATTTCTTCCTGCTCTAAAATAGAGTCCTTAATTTGAAATCTACCATTTCTCTTCCATTTCTACTTTTCAACTCTTTTGTGACCAATTAGTTTATCATTTAGGATTCTTCTTTACTTTTCATGAGCTCTCTCTGGTTTGCACCAGCTAGCCGGGTAACTTTTTCCTTTATGCTGCCCTTGTTCTTCTTTCTTTCCTGATTGCACTTGAAGATTTAGACGGTCCTTTGATAAACAGTATGAGATTGTTCTCTTATCACTTTGTTCAATCATTAGTTCTTCTGACAATCAGATTCTTGTTTAATCCTAGCTAACGGAATTAGGAAACATACCTTTTTCGCTACTAAGAGATTGAAATTCTTATAAATAGTGGCTTGACTTTAGATAGAAACATAAAAAAGAAGAAAGAAGAGACTTGAATCAACTCTAAATTGAATAAATACCAATTGCCAGTCCAAGATTAAATGGAATATAATGTGCAGAGAATCATGGAAATTCTAACAGGGTACTTTTATGGAAAGTACAACCTTTAGGTATGTCTTAAAGGAATGTTCACTGAAAAGTAATTGGTGGGAGCATTCTAAGATGTTGTTTTGATGGGTTCTATTAGTAGACAACATGGATAAAAGGAACATGTCATGAAGTTTTACAATCGTATTTAGTATACATTCTATTGGAAGAACAAAGCGGTATCAAAACTGTCGTTGATGCTTTTGAAATCTAATGCACAAAAATAGGACTTGTAGGCTTTCAAATTGCAGCTTTCATGCAGTAGTAATGAAACATTGTAATCACTGAATAATTCTGCCACCTTTTACAGCTTTCATAGGGTGTTATAAATTATAAAGAAACAAATCCAAACATCTAAATGTTATCTTGGGGTTTGATCTGTCATGCTTTATGTCATCTGCTAGGTTTTGACTACTGCAGGAGAGTTAGAAAAATAGTATATTGTTAGATACCAACATATTATATTAAGTTTATGGTGTCATAAAAGTCTCAACTGTAAATAATAAGTTTACAGTTATTTTTGTTAATAATAATTTTCTTTTATCTGTTGTATAATTGGTAAAACTTTTTCTGGTGATTATTCTTTTGAGCCTTGCTGAAATTAAAGAAAATTTTAATTGAAGCTTTCTTGACTAAGTATAATTATTATAGGAGGAGTGAGTTGGAAAAGATTTGTATAACTTAGCTGGTTAGACACCCAGCTGCATATATTTATTTAAAGCCTTCTACCTTGCTCATTTATTTTCCTAACAACATAAAATTGTCCTGTTTTGAAGTTTAAATTGAAGGACTATTTATACACTTAAAGTAGGAGACTGTTTAAAAATAATGGAATAAATTATAAAAAACAAATGAAGTTTACTTGGCACTTTTGAACATTATTTAATTCTAGACTTGAAAGTCTGTTTAAGCTTATTTTTATAGCAGTGGTAATTATACTGGTCCAGTAGCTGTGCCAATTCTAAGTATAATGTACTTTAATTAATGTAGGCTTTGGTGTTTCTGTTAATGGACGGTGATATATAGAAAATCTAAGCAAGACATGCTAACTTAGTTCCAGTCAAATAGTCTGAAAAGTGTACACTTTTTTTTTATTTTTGAAAATTAACCTATTAAGGATGAGAGTAAACCTTTACAGAGATAGATCCTCTGACACTAAGAGATGACTAAGTTCTGCCTGTTCTTGGCTCTACCAAAATTATATTTGTGGATAATTGAATAGCTTGGTCACGAAAAAGTTTATTCTCTAAGTTGAATGTTGACAAACTGTGACCCATGGGCTAAATCCTGCCTGTTTTGTAAAGTTTTATTGGAATACAGTCTTGTTAATTCAATTATAAACTGTTTAAGACTGCTTTGATGGTACAGTGGTAGTGTTGAGTAGTTACCACAGGGATCATATGATCCTCAAGGCCTAAAATATTTACTGTTTGCCCCTTTAAGAAAAAGTGTACTCTATATGTTCTGGTGGAGGTTTATGAGGTAGTATTTTTGTGTTTGATTTCCCATTCCACTTCATTCTAGGAAAGAGTACTTAAAAAAATCATTTGGGTGTTAGTTTCCAGCCTTCTCATTTGTGAAGAGGGATAATATTACCTTGCAGTGTTGCTTTGAGGACTAAGTGAGAAATGTAAATAAAATACTTTGCTGATTGTGTAGCACCCAGGAAGAATTTAGGCAGTGAGGAGATCACGGAAAATCTTGGTGTCTGGGTGATTTAGGATGCTATGATTTTAGAGATTGTGATTTGTAAAGCAGGTTTTAGAGGCCTAGTTTATCCAGGGTCTTAATATATTAATAGCATTGCTGATTAATTTCTCTCCATCCTTTCCTTCTTCCCTTTTGTCCCCTCTTTGTTTCTCTTTCTTCTCTTTTCTTCCTGATCTTTATACTTTCCTTCTCTCTTTCTTTTTGATATGTGCAAACATTGAGACTACGTTTATGTTCGTTGGTCTACTCCTAGAGAGAGTATGCAGAAAATCTATTTTTTTTTTTTTGAGTCGGAGTCTCACTCTGTCGCCCAGACTGGAGTGCAGTGGCCGCTCCCGGCCACTGCAGCCTTGACCTGCTGGGCTCTGGCGATCCTTCTGCCTCAGCCTTCCAAGTAGCTGGAACTACAGGCGCACGCTACCATGCCCGGCTAATTTTTTGATTTATTGTAGAGATGAGGTCTCGCCAAGTTGCCTGGGCGGGTCTTGAACCCGCGGGCGCAGGCAATTCACTCACCTCGTCCTCCCAAAGTGCTGGGATTACAGACTGAGCCACCGAGCCCGGCCAGAAAACCTATTAAATAGAAGATTCTCTGTTATTGTTGGCTCCATTCTCTAGGAAACAGAGGAACTCTAAAATCTTGTAATCTTCTTCTCCTTTATTTTTATGGGATAATATATATTGGTATATATAAAATCTACTTGGTATATATAAAATCCATCTATTTATATGTAAAATCTGCTCTTACTACAGCAAATGTTAGGGCAGATCGTTGGTTTTTCTTGGACCATGGTGTCAATGGTTCATCTCTAGGCAGGCTTGATTTTCTTCTAGAAGGTAGGATAGATGATAGATAAATTTTTCCTAATATTTTGGAGGAAACGTGAAGATCTAATGATGATAAAATTGACTCTAGCAATTTTATATTAGAACACTTAATATGTTTTTGCTTCATGAAAACAAAAACTTAAAGAGCTGTTATTTTACTTGACAGGTATTGTTAGAAGATTAGTTTGAAACTTGAGACCTAACCCCTTCAAGTTATTGTAAAACCTACATTGATATAAATAAGAGGGTAAGAAAAAGAATCTTAAAATATCTTTTGTTTTTATTGGTATTTATTATTATTTTGTGGTAATTTTTAGTTCTTATAGGTGTCACAGAAAAAAATACAGAAAAGAGGTAAAATTCTAGGGTAATAATCACAGCATTAGCAGATTTTTAGATCACAATAGTAAGAATTAGTCACATTTCTAAAGGTTTTGGGCTCCATCATTTGAAAATCTTGTTATCCATTGTAAATTTCATTCTGTTTTAATTTAACTAAATTCTTTTGTTTGTGGTTTAAAAAAGAATTAAGTGGGTCAAATTTCTCTTGAGTGTTTCTAGCTTACTAAAGCTAATACCTAAATACATTACATTTAAATTTTATATTCTATCATTCTGTAAAGTATCCTTGCTGTTTTCCCGTTTATTGTACAGTAAGCTGAGATTTTAGTAGAGGCAGATATCAATCCCGTTTTTTCTCTCTGAGGTCACTGAGTCACACAGAGATAATAAATGATTTTTTTAGTTAGTATAAAGTCAGGAACATAAATATTGGATTTACCGTATTTTGTATATTCATAGGGACAGCAAGGTTTAAAAAATAATTTTGTGTCTGGAAACAGGTAGGTAATATATAAGATGAGGGATTGTTTCAGCTAAAATTTTTGTTGTTGTTGAGAGGTTTAAGTATTTTATCCTGCCAAGATATGAAGAGAGCAGGAGGAGAGTTGTAAGTCTTGGTAAAACATAACTTTGAGACACAGCGTTAGCATTCTGTTTACTTGTAGATGAGAAAAACCAATAACGTTAATTTCATCTGTCAAAGGAGAAAGAAGGGAGGAGAAGGAAAAAAAAGAGACAATTTGGAATAGTGAATTTTGTTTTCCTTTCCTTGGCTAAACTGCTGATTAGCTGGTAGCTATTAAAGAGACCAGGCAGAATATTGTCGTTTGGCAGCTAGATGTGTCATCAAAGAATTCAGTTTTAGTTGTTTATGAATTCTCTAGAAGACCTTAGATGTTTAATTATGGCTTGCATGTAAGAGATTGTCTCTTATGTCTGTCAGTATTCTTGTTAGCACTTTCATTAATGCCAGATCTACATCAGAATTTCTTACTTGTTTTATTATGGCCTTGTTTCTGTGATCTTTTTTCTTTTGTTTTCTTTGGTGTGTTAGGCAGTCCTTCTAAAAATTAATGCTCTATCTTTCTGGGGTTATATTTGCCATTCAAACCATCATTTAAACAATATTCGTATGTAATTTGTTCTCAAAATTGTGTTCAGATAAAAAAGGCCTTAGCCTACTTGAGACTATATGGGAGACATGAACTACAATATGTAAAGCATATGGAATGGATTTCTCTAGTCAGTTATCTAGATGGTATTAATAAATCAATAAAAATATTCACCTTAAGCACTTTATGCTCTTTTACTTACTGTTGTTTTGAAAGTTTAGATTCGGATTTTGAAAAATTTTGCAAATTTTCTTTCTATAATCAGATTACTGTTGCTATAATCGTTATCTTTGATGAAGAGTGGGAATCATTTAATGGTAAATTCTGTTTGTTTTGTTTTGGTTTTTTTTTCTAGTCAAAGGCCATTGGCTTGTTGGATGTGGATGTGTATGGCCCTTCAATTCCAAAGATGATGAATCTCAAAGGAAATCCAGAATTATCACAGAGTAAGTGAAGAAGACATAAATATTATGCTTATAGTTGCACATTTATTTGGTACTTACTGGGTATCAGGCATTGTGCCAGATACAATGTATACTTTATCCACAATATAGTACAGTAAATCCTCACTTAAGTCAGTAAATTCTTGGAAACTGTGACTTCAAGTGAAACAGGCTAAATAATTTAAACAAGAGTTAAGTTACTGTGGCATATTTTTGGTCACAAAAACATCACCATACTATTAACAGTAAGTAAAGACTGAAAATGGCTGGGTGCGGGTGGCTCATGTCTGTAATCCCAGCACTTTGGGAGGCTGATGTGGGAGAAGTGCTTGGGCCTAAGAGTTTGAGGTCAGCCTAGGCAACACAGCGAGACCTAATCTCTTAAAAAAAAAAGAATAAAAAAATTAGCCATCCGGGGTGGCGTATGCCTGTAGTCTCAGCTACTCTGGAGGCTGAGGCACAAGGATTGCCTGAGCTCAGAATCTGGTCGAGGCTGCAGTGAGCTGGGATTGTGCCACTGCACTTCATCCTGCATGACAGTGAGACCTCACTAAAAAAAAAAAAAAGAAAAAAAAAGGACTCAAAACACTTACAGTATTTAACATTGAAATAAATAAACGTGAGCTATATATGTAGGACAGATTTAAAAAAGCAAGTAAGTAAGATAATTATTTACACAGTTTTTAGTGAACCAGTGAGTGACAGCTGTTGTAGTGATGGTGGGTTAAATCAAGAGATAGGTATTTGCAAAGTGAAAATTGTAAGGAGCACCTTTCACCACCACACTGTTCAAAAACAAACAATAACCAATATGTGGCTCACTAAGTGTTTTTGTACTGCATTATTTGTTATCATGCATTTGTATATTATGGTATAGTTTCTGAATTTTAATTTGACAGCTATTTGCATCCATTCATTCATTTTCTAATCCACTTATTCTAGTTCATGGTTGTGGGTAGCTGGAGCCTCTCTTTGTATCTCAAGGGCAAGGGAGGAGCCAGCCCTGGACAGGATGCCATCCCATTGCAGGGTGCACTCATACACACCAGTGTGCATTCAGTCTGGGACCATGTAAACATGCCAGTACATCTAAAGTGCACAGCTTTGGGATGTGGGAGGAAGCAAGAGTATCATAGAATCTCAGCTCTGTCACTGATTGTGTAGCTTTGAGTAAAATGTTTAATTTTTTTGCTTTTTGGACCTCCATGTATAACATAGAATTATATTTACTGTGATAATTAACATAAATGTTATGCATTTAGCACAGTTTCTGCCACATAGTGATAAAAAAACCTTAGGTCATCATCATGGTTTCTTTACATTAAATGTGTGGATTTTAGGAATTTTGAATAGAAAATGTATTTGTGGTAGAAGAAATGAAAATAATTTTCTCTAACCAGATTTTTGTCAGATTTGTCTTAAAGTGTTTTTAAAAAATCCCAATACATTGACTTCTCTCTCCAGTCTCTTTACTAGAAAAAGCAATTTTTCTAAATAAATCTTTAATATGTATTGCTTCTGTAAATTGTGTTTTTAATAACACTGTCAAATAGAAAGCTTTGAGAACAAGGAAATGTTATGACCAAAAAAATGAAGAATTTAAACTTTGGGCACATGGGCACAACGGCGGGAACAGTATACTCTGGGCACTGCTAAAGGAGGGATGCAGGGAGGATAATGGGTACACAACCACCCACTGGGTACTGCGTCCACATCTGTTGGGGAGAGGGCTCCCTGGAAACCCAAACCTCACCTTCACACAATATACTTATGTAGCAAATCCTCACATGTACCCCATGACTCTAAAACAAAAAAAGAAAGAAAGAAACTGACCTGAGACTCTTTCAGTTGTTAAACCCAACACTGGCAATTTGGTCAGTATCCTTAAATTGGTGTTGATTTGGAAGAAAAAAAAAAAAGTCTTAATTTTTGTAAGTATATTTATAAATGTAATAAGATAAAATATGAAAAGACTCAGTGACTAGAAAAGCTTGTATTGTGTACTTTAAATGATAAATTTTTGGGGAAATAGAACAGCGAACTGAATCCCAGCTTAATAGGGACTTCTCAATTCTTAGACTAAGTTGGACAACCTTAGGAGCAATAGGGACTTCAGAATTCCTTTCTCTTCATTATTTAAGCAGATGTATATGATGATGTAATTTTTGACAATTTGCTCATTTAAAAATAACACGTTACGGTTGGCAGATCATACTTTTTTTTTTTCTCTCTGTCTCTATCTTTTTTTCTGGGAGAATTGTAGAAAAACCTCGCTTTTTGTAATTATGACATTTTAGCCTTCATTACAAAGATAAATTTTCTGTTTGATTTTGAATAAGTAAATTCAATAGTTGAAGAATTTAAATTGATAATAGCTATTGGTTTCTTAGGCTGAGAATGTTTCTATTAAGATTAAAATGTCAATAGTGAATTTTCTATGTTATCATGAAAAGTTGTGGTAATGGGAAGTCTATCTAGTTTGTAGAAAGGGTATTATACAGAAACATCAACAAGTTGACATTGTAATGACTGAAGATGACCAGTTACTTTGGGGACCTAATAGAATTTAGAGTAAAATCTATGTGTTGTTGGAGAAACTAGCACCTAATCATGAATATAACCCCCCACTTTTTTTTAAAAGAACAAATGCCAGTAATTTTTGTACATTTTAACTTTCCAAATAACTTAATATTCAAATTTCATATCGTAGTATAGCAAACTTATAGTCCTAGAAATTATTGACTTGGAGATTTTCAATTGAGATGACAAATATTCAGTGGTAGTTGCACACAGAGACATGTTGCTACATTTCACCAATGTAATATTCATTTTTGTGACCAGGTTGAGGGTTTTCACTAAGCTTTCCAAATTATTCTTATTAGTAGAAATATCTTCTTTCTTTCATAGTTTTGTGATGAAAAATCACTTTCAGAATGCTCATGAGTTTATTACTGCTTAGTTTTACTATGTCTTTAAACGTACTGAGCTAATAAAGTAGGAAATGTTTAAGACCTGTGGAGAGAGGTTACTAAAATGGATATTTCAAGTATTTTATTGAAGATAGACACAGTGTTTATTACTGACTAAATGTGAAACTTTTTTGAGTAGGGACCACTTGTCTTTTCCATTATGGGATAGTAATTCTGTACTCATGTCAGAATTTTCTGCTATATCTGTCTTAAGGTATTAAGCTTTTTTCAAGTTTAGGATTGAGTGTGTATGTGGGTTTTTCGGAGAAACTGTGGAAAATCAAATGGCAAGTGACCTTTTATAAAAAGTATCACCCATTTCTGGTAAAAACTATAAAGAGACTGTAATTTTTTAAAGGTAATTTAAGTGTCCAAAGAATGAGCGTGAACTGTGGTTATATCTGGTCACTGTATTGTTTCATTCCTGGGAAGAGATTTACGAGTGGTGTTGAAGTTGTTGACATGCAAGATCACATTCCTATTTGCTGGATGGAGATACTAAAGGGTGTAACAGCTGCTTGCAGCTCGTCTTGGGGGTGTCAGACCACCGGGCTGGTGTGGTTCTGCAGTATCTTAGCCTCAGGGATTGAGGGTAGCCATGGCTACTTATACCCAGAGCAAGACATACTCCAGCTTTAGTTCCAGTTCTAAGATGACTAGCACAGTAAGTAGCCTTGCAGTCCGCAGGAGTGGGGGCACAGTGTTGGTGCCTTCTCTGGGGGATCACAGCTCTGTGGATTGCAAGTGGCTCCCTCAGCTGGTTTTAGTGCCTGTGAGAACTGCAGGGGACCACAATGATAAGGTTTGCAAGGTACCCAGGGTGTTGATGGGGGTGCTGGGATCCTCTTGCTTACCCCCTCATTATAGGGAAAAGTTTCTCTTGATTCCCAGCTGATCCTGGTTGGAGGCTGGGGTTGTGTTTCCAAATGTAGTTCTTCATTCATTGCTCTGGCTGTTTTTGTGAGGAGGAGGAGTTTCAGGTGCTTTTAGTCAGCTGTCTTACTGCCATCACTCAATCTTATACTTTAGGGTAGTTATTAAGAACTGGGGAGAGGGCAACCCTTTGGGTCCCCTCCCACTGTGGAAGCTTTTCTGTCCTCTCAATAAATCCCGCTTTAAAAAAAAAAGAACTGGGAGAAAGTAGAATAGTGATGTTTAATTGGGTGTGTTAGGTTATTAGCTTTCTCTAATTTTTAGTTTAGAAACATCACTAGCCTGCCAATTGTTATGAATTGTAGCCTAAAATTCTGTTATTCCTTTTCATCTTAAGAAAGTGATGGAATTCAAAATTGTTAATGTCATGGTTACTGGTATTACTTTGTAACATGACCAATATTACAGAGTCCTTTATGATCTGGTTCCCGCTGCTTCTTCCTCCTATAGCCTTCATTCCAACAAGCTTGCCATGTTACCCACTGAAAACTAGACACATGCTAACATGTGATCTTTTTGTCTAACATGCTAACCTCTGTGCTGTCTCAGGATCTTCACATACTTTATTCTGTTTAGAATTCCTTTTACCTCCACTGTCCTCTACCCTGAAGATAATTTCTACTAATCAGGTCTCAATTTTAATGGTTATTCTTCCATAAGCCCTTTCTGACTTCTTGGTCTTCTTATAATTGGAAGGATGGAATTTTTGTGTTATTATCTGTTTAATTTTTTATCCTCCCTAATAGACAATACAATGTCTATAGAGCAGATGCTTTTCTGCTTGGTTTGTTTTTCTCATGCTTGGTATATAGTATATAGACTTAGTTGAATACATGGATAACATGGTCATCCCTGCTAAATTTCATGTATGTTAGCTGCATAGTTAACTTTCTGCTTTGTTATATTAGATAACTTAATTTGCAAGCTTACTTTTTCCTTAGTAATAAAGGCAGTTTTAAGACATTATCTTAATAGTTAATCTTTGTGATAGATCCAAGTGGCTATCTTCTACTGCTTTTTTCCTCATTCTTAAAAAGGGAAGAAAATCTATATGGTTAGTAATTTGATTTTTGGGAATTATGTTATATGGACTAAAGCGAT